TGCCGAGCTCGTTGGGTCCCTGATGTACGCGATGATGTGCACCCGCCCCAACCTCGCCTACCCCATCAGCGTGCTCGCTCGCTTCGTCGGCACTGGTTGCCACACTGAGGAGCACTGGAAAGCTGCCAAGCGGGTCCTCCGCTACCTTGGAGGGACCAAGGACCTTGCCCTCACCCTTCGCGGCCCTTCCCCTCCTCTTCTCTCAGGCTTCAGTGATTCCTCTTGGGCTGACACGCAGCCGGACCGCCGCTCCTCCCAGGGCTACGGCTTCACCCTTGGCAGCGGCCTCATCAGCTGGCGCTCCACCCGCTCCTCCGCCATCTCTCTCTCCCCCTGCGAGGTCGAGCTCTACGCTGGCACCATGGCCGCCCAGGATTCACGCTAGCTCTGCTTCCTTCTTGGGGAGCTTGGCGCCCCCCAGACGTGCCCCACTCTCTGGTGCGACAATGCCAGCACCATCCATCTCACTCAGGACCCCGTCTATCACGCTCGCTCCAAGCACATCGAGCTCCGCTATTTTTTTCATTCGCGAGCTCGTCCAGAAGGGCCTTATTGTCGTTCGAAAGATTGCGACCGAGGCCAACTTGGCCGACATCTTCACTAAAGCCCTCCTTCGCCCTGCGCACTCTGCTCTCCTCCGCCTCATTGGCCTCGCTCGCCCGACCCTTGATTCAGGGGTTGAAACTTGTGATCCCTGAATCATTCAGCTTCGCCATCGCCGCAGCAACAGCTTCGCCAAACAACCCCTGAATGATTCAGGTATTCAGCTTGTACTCACCATCGCCATCGCAACAGCTTCGCCAAACAGCCGTCGCTCCAGCCTCAATGTCCCTTTCCCCCTTTGGTCTGCCCTTTCAAGACGTCACTCTCGGAAAGCTTCGTCCTCCGTCTCTCCTCCTCTCGCATTCCATGCGTCTCTTTCCCGCTCCTTCCGTTCTTGATCGTGGCGTTTTGTGATGGGAAGGGGGTATCCATCCTTCCAGTGCCTTGCTGCACCCCCTACCGCAGCAATACAGCCGGTAGCTGCGGGCGAAGGGGCACCGGCAGCAGAGGTGGTGGCAGCAGCGGCAGCAGCAGCAGTGGCAGCGGCGCCACCTGCTTCCTGCCCCTTGTCTTCTCGTCCCCTCCTTCCGCCTCGCACCTCGCCTTTCACCCCCATGCGCCTTGCAACCTCGGTCAGCATGCTCATTCCCTCCCCCACGCCCCACTCTGCCCTAGGTCCGCCTGCTTGAGCCCTCTCCACTCACTCTGCTCTGCTCCTTTGTTCCTGTCTGTCCACCCCCCACCTGCTCCTCGCCAGCCTCTAGTCAGCTCCGGCCTGCAGTTGCGGCACCACGCTTGGCTGCTAGAGCTGCTGCAGCAACGAGTTCTTGGATCGTGCCAATGCACTGACTGCTGCCCGCCGCACATACGCCACGCCGCTGCACGCGGACACTGGCTTGGCAACGCGCAAGTGTAACACGGAGGGGGAACGGAAACGAGAGAGGGGGAGGGAGATGTGGCGGGGGGGGAAGAGGGGGGGAGTGGGGGGAGGGGGGTGGGCTGGGGGAAGCAGTTGCGCAAGTGATGCTGACGTTGCGCGAGGCGTTGCGGACAGATGCAAGCGCGGCACGGAGGGAGCGAGGAAGGCGAATCGCGAACGAAATTGCGAGGTGATCAGATCAAGAAAGAGAGGAGGCGGAGGGGAAATGGGAAAGAAAAAAATGGGCAAGAGTTTTCTGTTGACGCGGTGACAATAGGTCGACTCACGGTCGTCATTTCGAGGCACAGCTGGCGACGACTGTTGAGGCGCCTCAAAAGACAGCTGGCGTCCCCCATTCGTCGGCGCTTTTGCGAAGCTACCTAGAATCTCCCTCTTTCGTACGCCCCTCTCCCGCTCCCTCCCCACCTTCTCCTGCCGCCGCGTGCGCTCCTCCACTCGCTCCTGAGCATGCTTCTGCTGCTCCCCCTAATCCGCCAAGCCCGCGAGCGCCACGGCCATACCTTGCGCTACTCATGCACGCGCACAGGGGAGGTGTGACACACTTGCATGACACACTGTATTGCTCTCGCAAATGCGAAGCGTGGCACGGCACCAGAGGATGTCACGTCGGAGGCAATCACAAGCGGCGTAACGGTAGATGATGATCGACGGACATGCCTAGCGCCGTTTTGAACGCGAGCCCGTCTCGAGAGCACGTTAATGGGAATGCTACTACTGTTAGATAAGCGCCGCTCGCTCGTTAAATGAAAGTTCTTCGCGAGTAGAGTTCTGCTAGATGAGCGCTGCTCACGCGAGCAGCAACGCCGACGTCGCGCATCGGGTTTGATTGTCTTTCAGCAGCAGCTGGTGCGCCGCGTCTGACATGGACAGCTTGCCGCTTGCTCGCCATCGTGGAAGGCTCGGGAAGGAGAGATGGGTCACACTACCGCACTCCTACTATCCGACAATCACGAGAACAGAGCATCGAGCCCGGGATACACGGCAACAGCACGAATATGACCCTGCGGTCCCCACGCCTCGAGTAGCATGGAGCTGGCAGTACAGGGAGGATGAATGAAATGGAGGAGCCGAAAAGCAATACCAGCTGCTATTCGTGCAGGCCAAGGCAGAGTCACCGCAGCAAGGAAAGCACTGACGACACTTGCTCTCATTCAGAGCTGATGCGCGCCGAGCTGGTCGGATTTCTGGAATCTCGAGACGTGATTGGCCAATCGTAACCGGGTTCTGTGATTGGCCAGTATGTGTTGCGGGATGGCATTTCCAAGCCTACGCTCCGGCCGGGCCAGACCAGGTTCGGCTTTATCGAGGAAAGAACCCTGGTTGGTGTGGGGGAATTGTCAGGCGAAGAGCAATTCGCCAGATGTGCTAAGTTTTGTCAAGGCCGCTGGCGAGTAACGTGGCCCATCAGCAACTTCGCACGCTCCTTACCATGCGGCACACGTGTTCCTTTCACCTCTCTAGGACGAAACTGCGTACACTGTAATAACGAGACACCGGAGTCGCTCACGCACATCTTCTCGGACTGTGGCAATGCGCCAGCCATCACCTCGGCGCTCCAGCGCACTGTTCGCGATCATTTGGGCATTAACGTTCCGACTGAACTTGTCCTCTTTCCGCTCTCCACGCCGGCTGGTCAAGTAGCGCCATGGAGCCTTCTAGCGGGAGCAGCGGCAAAGGTGCTTTGGAATGAACGCTGCGACGCTGTTCACAACCAAATCCAGGCCTCTACGCTGCAGTCCCTTCACACGGTTCTCTCAGTCTTCCTACTCGCGTGCAAAATTTTCTTCACCCGACGATCTAAAGCGTCCACCAAGAAACAGAAACGGAGCGCCTCTCGAGTCAAGTTCAGCATTAGGCGGAGACTGCTACATTTCGACTCCGCCAGCTTCCCCTCTCTCCATCCCGAGCTGAGAACTACGTGGCTGCGAAGGGAAAATTTCCATCCCCCATAAAAGCTCTCGCGGTACTTACAAAAGTGTGGGACAAGTGTAGCTTAGGCGACATTTGCTTGCTAGGCAAGGCAAGACAGCGCCGTCAGGCGCAGACCTTTTAGGTTTTGAGACTCCTCATTCTTGCTCTCTACACTGTATATGTGGGTTACGACCTATTAATAAAACTTAAAACTTAAAACATCAGCAACTTCGCGCGCGCCTGCGATATTCGCGGGGTGTCCGCGGGGCCGGGAGGAGGTGGTGCGTGTGCGGATGGCTGGCGGAAAGCTTGTTGGGGGAAATCACGCCCATCCCCCCCAGCATCGTCTTCGCTTGCTTCTCATCTCATGCACCAGCTCACCTCGTGGCATGGTTTCCCTTCGTTCGACGCGCTCGAGAGATCTAGGCAACGAGATGCAAGCTTGCTGCCCGTGCCTCGTGGCAATCATTCGTAGCTCTTGCTCGTTCATAGTCAAAACGGCCTTGGATTGCAATCCGGAATGACTGCATGCGAATACAGCACTGGTTCGGCACTGGTTCGTTTTTGCACTCCTGAGCAGATCGCACATGGAAGCGATATGATGCTAGACTTTCGCGCAGATCTGGACCCACTCCCGTTAGTACATACCCATTCTTCCCATAAGTATGCTGCTTCCTTTTCCTTGTCACGTTTCTTAGAGTCAAATCTCATCTGCTTGCCTTTTCTCAGTCCATCGTCCGCTAGCCCTTACCTTAGAATTGAAATGATGGAGCCTAACACGAACATCAATAGTCTCTCAGACGACCTACTCTTCGCGATTCTAAGGCGGGCGTTTGAACAACCCGGTTCATGCGAATCCTACATTGGTAGCTTGTGGTCCCCCAGATTTGTTTGGTGCTTCAATGAGGATAAAAGTAGATACCATGCGGGTATGAGATTCAAGGCGCCAATACCAGCCCCTCCTCCATTCGCAGACGCGGCTCGAAATCTCCTCCTCGCGTCCGTGTGCCGTCATTGGCGTCGCCTAGCGAAGAGTCGCGTGACCACGCTCTCCGTCAAAGAGGACCTCCTTGTGTCCCTCCAAGACCTCTCGGCTGCCGTCGCCTGCTTCCCCAACCTCACCCACCTGCATCTAAGCGACAACAGCGTTGAGACGCTCAACGACGCCTTTCTTGCTCACCTCGCTTCTTCATGCCCGAAGCTCACGACTCTCCACGTGGGGTGGAGCTTTCCAGTGGGCGGCCAAGATGATGCCAGTTTTGAGTATTATCTCAGGAAGGAGGAGCGTCCCTTATCTACGGACGGTTTAGATGGCTTCTTCTCAAAGCTCCCTCGCTTAGAGCAAGTTTCACTCTTCTGCCCGCACCAAGCAACTAAGCTACCAAGATCCTTCTTTCGTTTGAGGCATCTCCGCACCCTTGTCCTCCACGACGCATGGGCCTTGAAAAATGCTGATTTCGCAAACCTAACAACGCTTACCACCGTTTGTGTCGCCTTTCCCTGGAATCTTCAGGACCTGGCCACCCTCTTCCGTCTCCCACGACTCGCCCATCTCTCCACCTTTGCCCCATACCAGAGCCATCAGCCCTTGGCGTGTGATGCAAGCATGGCTCCGCCGTCGTGCCTCAAGTCGCTCGCTTTTGCAGTTTCGTGTCCAGAGTTTGACTCCATCTTCCCATCAGCATCGCCGTTCACCGGGCTAGAGGAGCTGCTCATCTACGACTGCACTGGGCTCACGAGCCTTCCCCACCACATTGATGCCTTGCTGCCGTGTCTACGCAAGCTCACCATTAACCAGTGCGATGACCTCGTCGACCTGCCTCAAAGCTTCGCGTCCCTCAGTCGTTTGGAAACCCTCATCATATGTGATTGCAACCGCCTTACCTTGCCCAGCAACTTCGGTGACCTGCCTGCCCTCAGACTGTTGGTGCTGGAGTTTCTGACTCTCTGGGAACTCCCTCCTTCCTTCTGCCATCTCTCGTCACTCGAGGCACTCATTATAGCTGGAAGCACCGGTGAGGATTTCCAGCTGCCAGCAGGTTTCAGCGGCCTCACAGCTCTCAAGGCTTTCTTCATTGCCGAGTCCGATCTTGCCTTGCCGGAAGACATAGGGGCCCTCGCCAGTCTGAAGGCTCTCAAGCTGGTCACTTACGCACAGCCCTTTCCTGCTTCATTCACACAGCTGTCTTCCTTGACGAGCCTTAACCTGAATAACTGGGGGCGTGGGACCGAGCTGCCGGAAGCCCTGGGGGAGCTGAGCAGCCTACAGGAGCTGACGATTCAAGTCAGTCCAATTCGCACTCTTCCCATGCCACTCTTACAACTTACCGGGCTTCATACTTTGGTGATCAGGGATTGTGACGAACTTTCAGAAGTGCCCTCGAGGTTGGCTATGCTTGTGGGGCTTAAGACGCTGGAGATATTGCGGTGTAAGAAGCTCCGTAGACCCCCTGCCAGTCTACCACCCTCTCTTCAGACCCTGCGCTTGGGCGGCCTTCGGAAAGGCTCTTCCCATGTCATCGACATCTCCCAGCTGACGCAGCTGAGGGAGCTGGAGCTGAGCGGGGTTAGGATGCGGTGCGGGCATGCAGAGAGTGGGAGGCTGCCGTGCCTGGAGCAGCTGAAGATGGGTTTTACATGCCGAGGGTGGGAGCTGCCAATCCCCCTCATCGTTCTCCCCCACCTGCGCCACTTGACGACTTGTGCAGATGAAGGTTACAGCCTCCCGGAAAACATGGCGGCAGCGTTACCGCAGCTGCGGCAGCTGGAGCTTCTTCGTTGGCATTCGGAAGAGCTGCCGGGAAGCATAGTGGAGATTACCTCGCTGACGTCTCTCACTGTTGAAGCTCCTCAGCTGACGTCACTACCTCAGGGCATGAGCCGGTTGTCTCGGCTGCGCAAACTGGAGCTGATTCGCTGCACCGCCTTGCAGCACCTCCCGGAGTGTCTCACTCAGCTGCACCAGCTGATACTGCGTGGCACCTCCATCACCTCCCTCCCTGCCAATCTGGTGCAGCTGACTAGGGAACATTGACTCCGCTGCCTGCCTTGGGCTTCATTGCACATGATTGAGGTGGGTGGACTTGGCTCAGTTGAAGGGGCGCTGAATTTTTTCAAGGCTGCACTGGCTATGTAGATGCCTTGGCTGATCAGTGCTAAGCAGCTGTGTAGTGTTCTCTCATTGTGCTTCTCATGTCTCTGTGCTGGCAGATGCTGAGGGGCGACAGCGTCTTTGAAGCTGGTGCCACCACACCTACATACCCCCCACTCCTCTGCAACCCCCCACTCTTCTCACACCCCCCAGTCTTCCCATTTGAATTTCCTGGTAGTTGCTGTTTCTTTCATCCCTTCTTACTGCCCTTGCACTTCTGATTTTGCCATTTTAACGACCAACACAGCTACAAGCCTTTCCTCAGATCCACCTGGACCCACCATCCGCCTGCTGGTCTTTTGCATCTTTCCACTGCGTGCTGCTTCTCGCCCCACCCTTGCCTCTGCCATGCGCCGCACACTGTTTGGTTCCCTCTCTGCAATGTGCCTCGGTTTGGTTCAGGGTGATGGAAGAAGATTGTGTGCTACGATGGCTGTGCATGCTTATAGAGGTGTCATTGTGAAACTGTGATTGTGTTCAACAAAATAACATCTTCAGCACACCTAGCCGATTCGACATTGTGCACACAGAGCTGGCCCCCGCCAAGCCAACCAATTTGCAGGAAGCTGTATTGATCACTGCTTGTGTACCAAAGAATGTACTGTGCTGTGCAGAGCTGAGAACAGCTACAAGGACTTTTCTACTGGAACTGCGCAAGGTATTGTGTAGTGCAGCTGATATCAATTAGGGTGAATCAAATCTCCACCAATACTTTTTATGGTTCCAACAGAATACCATCATCAATCCATGACTTGTCTGCACGTATATTTCAGAAATGCAGCTGACTAGGGAGGAGAGTGGTTTAATCTTGGCCTTGTATGTACCTGCCAAATACGGGGCTGCAAAGAGGGAGGGGTGACAAAACGCATGGCAGACAAACAGTGCAGGGAAGGGAAGGAAAAAAGGCGAGGGCGAGGAAGATGAAGGCTGAGAAGAGGCGGAGCACGCTGCCTTGCAAGACGCCCAGCCCCTTGCAAGAACCAGTCCGGTGGTAAGTGGCCCCTGCTCACTGCTCTGAGAGTGACCATCTTGGCCTTGTGCGTGCCCTATAGTGCCTGTTGGGGTTCAAGCGCAAATGGTAGGTAGGGTGGCTGTTACAAGGCACGAGTATGGTAGGTAGAGTGGATCATCTCAGCAGCACTCGCTCTCACAACCATCCCAGCAGCCTCGCATTACCCGTTATCTACCAGTGACTCAAAATATCATGCAGCCCACTTCCCATCAAACTCCTCCAACACACATCTTTCTCCCCCTCTGCTCGTCTGCCCTCAAACGGGGCACCCAACAGCCCAGCCCAGCTCCGCCCACAGAGCTTGTCTTCTCTTCAACGTCCGCAGGCTCAGCAGCCTCTAGCGTGCTGCTGCAGAGGTGAACAGTGCGGCAGTGGCGTAGGGGCAGGAGAGTTGGTGGGGCAGAAGTCGGTGTGGGAGAGGCAGGTGCGGAGGTGGTGGAGGGGAAGAGGGAGGGGGAGAGGTGAGCGGGTTGTGAGGGAGAGGAGGGAAGGGTAAACAGCACAGTGGCTGATGAGAGGGGCGTGGGAGATGGTGCCATAAGGGGGCGAAGTTGGTGGGGCGTAGGTGATGCAGGTGCGAATCTGGTGGTAAGTGTGGTGGCAAGGGAGGGTGAAGAGAAGAGGGCGATGGGCGTTGATTGAAGGGAAGTTGTGGTACAGCCTTGGCAAGGGAGTGAAGGGTGCGCATGTTCCCTGTCATGCAAATCCAGTCGTCAGACTAGGACTTGGAAACAGTGTGTAACCTCGGCAGCCAGTGCGCCCCGAGCTGCAGGGGTGGGGATTGATGGGCTAGAAATCAGCGCAGGAGAAGCAGGTGAGAGCAGCGTGTCGCCGCCATAGTGGCAGGAATCCGAATCCGAATCCGAATCCGTGGGGTAGAAGCTGGCATAGGCGGTGGGAGAGAAGCAGGTGCGGAGCTTGGAGGGGAAGAGTGAGAAAAGGGAAAGGAGGTTAAAGGGAGGGGAGTGGGGAGCAGAGCGAGTAGTGCCTTTGCGAGGAATGTGCTTGTGCAGCAAGGGCACGTGTCGGTGTGGAACACACAATGCGCCGCTGAATGGATGGAATACACCGTTTCGGATGCGAATGGAAGCTGGATGAGAAAATGGAATCAGAGCTTGGGAGGGGACGGGGGGTGGTAACTGAAGGCGGATAATGGGAGGAGGGATGTGGGAGACAGTGCTGTAGGGGATGAGTCCGTGGGTCCCTATAAGAGTAGCAGGTTGGGGGAAGCAGGGGGAGGAAGGCGGAGACAGGGAAAAGAGGTTCTGGAGAAGGCCTGGAAGGGGAAAGGGGCAGACGTCAGGGGGTCACAAGGAAGTTGGTGCAGGATGCACAATTGAAAGGCCAAATGGGCGGGATGAGGACGGATCCGAATGGGGGTTGGGTGGAAAGAAACAACTCGAGTTTGGGAGGGGAGGGGAGGTAAATGAGGGGGCATGGGGGAATGAGTCTCACCGTGATGGCCACGGTGTGATGGCCAGCAGGTGTGATGGCCAGCAGGTGGGTGGGAAGGCGTGGGAGGGGTTGAGGCAGGTGAGAATGGGAGAGTGATGGATGGACAGTGTCCGGGTGAAGGCTGGGGGCCAAGCAGTCGAAATCTGAGGGGCAGACAGATGCTGGCGTACGTGACAGGTTCGGATCTGGGAGGGGTGGGGAAGGGGATGGGGGGAGCGAGAGTATCAGGAAGGGGAGGGAGGGGATAGTGCCAGGGTGAACAGTGCACCTGTGCTGTGGGGGGGCGGAGTCCATGCAGTCGGTGTGGGAGACGCAGGTGCAGAGCTGGGGGACGGAGGGGGAGGGAAAGGAGGTGTTGCGGAGTGGAAGTGGATTATGAGAGGGATGTGGGAGATAGTGCTGTAGGGTCGTGAACTGTGGGACAGAATTCGGTATAGGAGAAGCAGTGTGGAGCTAGGGGGGGGTGAGAGATAGTGCCAAAGTGAATCTGTGAGTTTGAGTAGGAGAAGCAGGCGCAGAACTTGGGGGGGGGGGAGAACGGGGAGAAGGGGAAAAAGAGGTTAAGCAGAAGGGGAAATGGGAGAGGAAGGATTAGTGCCTTTGCGAGTAATGTGCAGTGCGGTGGGGACAGATATGAGGGTGTCACAAGGCGTTGGTGTAGGATACTCACAAGCGAGGCTGGGTAGATGGATGGGATGGGATGGTGGCCGGGGTGCAAATGAGGGCTTAGTGGGAAGAGGAAATGAGACTTTGAGAAGTGAGAAGAGGCAATAGGAGGCGGCATGAGGGAATGAGTCTCACCTTGGCTGCAACTGGAACAAGCTCACGGCACTTGGGCTTGTTCAAGTTGTTTCCGGCTGAGAATTCTTCCCAAGAGAATTTCCTTAGAAGCAAGGAAGAACAAACAGAAAGAGAAACAGCAACTACTCTCTAATTCCTACGAATGCATTTTTATATGTACAGTACATTTACAATTCAGACATGCGGCTCGGAATGTCGATTCGGGTGGCCAGCCCCAACATCGAGCCGCATTCCATATTTCTACTCATATTTGTATACCTCACCCACACACGTGTTACATTTCTATTCCTCCAAGTCTGGACTTTCGCCACCTGTCCCACGCGGAAGTCCCCCCAAGTCAGTCAAGGCACGAAACCTCAGTTTCGCCCTTCTCACGTGGGTCCCCCACGTCCTGCTCACTTCCGCCCCTTTGCTGCCCACGTTCGCAGTTGCATGCTGCTGCTACATGCTTTTGCCTCCCGTGCGCTTCACGCTGCCCCCAGTGCAGACCCCACTTGTTACATTACCTCCCCTCCCTGAAGGCACCGTCCTCGGTGCCAATGAGGCAAGATAGACTCCAATGGCACGAGGAGCATGGCTGAGGTTGGAGAACGGCTCCCATGAGTCTTCAGATGCTGAGGTGTTGCGCCAGTGAATGAGGTATTCACGGCCAACCGAATTGTCACGGTGTGAGAGGACGGTGTCAACCTCATGCAGGTCCGGATGGGCAGAGAACATGGGTGGGCGGGGCTGGAATGGGTGAGAGGGAGTACGGTAAGGTCGAAGAAGGTGAACATGGAAAACAGGGTGTATGGTCATGTGAGGAGGAAGTTGAAGGCGGTAGCTGACCGGTGAGAGAACCTTGGTGATGGGGAATGGTCCAACGAATCTGGGTGCGAGCTTGCGAGAAGTTCCAGCATTCAGCAGGGGCAGGTTAGCCGTTGAAAGCAGCACCAAATCACCAACTCTGAAAGTGGTGTAACGCCTATGCTGGTTGGCATAGCGAACTTGGCGCTCTTGTGCAAGCTGAAGCTTCCTTCGGGCAAGTTGGAGAATGCGGTGATGAGAAGAGATGAAATCTGCTGCTGTGGGGTTAGGGGAATGAAGAGGGTGAGGGAGGGATGTGACTGAGCGTGGTAGCTGTCCAGTAGCTAAAAGAAACGGTGGCTCTCCCGTGGCAATGTTGGGGCTGCTGTTGTAGGCAAACTCCACTGCTGCCAAGTGCTGATCCCAGTCAGTTTGCATAGAATACACACACGAGCGTAGCGCATCCTCCAAGGTTCTGTTCATGCGCTCTGTTTGACCGTCAGTTTCAGGGTGGTAGGCTGTAGAGAGTCGAATCTGTGTGCCCAGCAGTTGAAACAGTGCAGTCCAGAAGTTGCTGAGGAACCGTGTGTCTCTGTCACTGATTATGGCTGAGGGCAGTCCGTGTAGCCTCACCACCTGTGTGAAAAACAGCTTGGCAGTTTCAGCAGCAGTCACTGTGCCAGTTGTAGGGATGAAGTGAGCCATCTTGGACAGCTTGTCAATCACCACAAGAATGCTGTCAAAGCCTGTAGGGGTGCGGGGTAGGTCTGTGATAAAATCCAGAGAAACACAAGTCCAGGGAGCTGTGGGTATCTCCAATGGTTGCAGCAGACCAGCCGGTGCAGTGGTGCGAGCCTTGTTGACCTGACAGGTAGGGCATGAAGCGACGTACTCAGCTACACTCCGGGACAGTCCAGGCCAGTAGTAGTCACGAGAAATGGCAGCATATGTCTTGTCACTGCCGAAGTGTGACCGGTTGTCATGGTACTCGTGTAGTAGCAGCTGGCGAAGCCTGGAGTCATCAGGTACACACACAGCACCAGAATCTGCACGGGTCCAAAAGGGATTGCTGAAAAGAAAGGATGGGTCATGGGAGGCTTTCTGTTGGTACATCTGATCACGGTTGTAACCACGGCTGAAACGAGTGATGAAGTTGCGGTCCCATGTAACCACTCCCATGACATTCAGCTCCTCTACTGCTGGCCGTGACAGAACATCCGCCGGATTGAAGCGCCCTGGTTTGTACACAATCTGAAGGTTGGGGACGTACTGCTCCAGAAACTGAACCCACCGCGCCTGCCGTGGTGTGATCTGTGACTGTGTTTTCAAGTACTCCAGTGTTCGGTGATCAGTGAAGACTGTAACGGGCTGCATCTCCACATAACAGCGCCACTTCTTCAGTGCATGCACCACAGCAAGTGCCTCTCTCTCGTGAATGGGGTATGTGCGCTCTGCAGCAGTGAGCTTCCGTGACTCAAAGGCTATTGGCTGCAGCCCAGCTTCCTGCTCCTGGCAGAGAATTGCTCCAAGAGCAACGTCTGATGCATCACACCAAATGAAGTATGGGAGCTCTGGATTCGGTACTGCTAGGGCAGGGGGTGAAGTAAGAGAAGTTTTGAGCTGCTCAAAAGCTTGCTGCTGCAATGGTCCCCAACTGAATGATGAGTCCTTCCGTAAGATATCGGTCAGAGGTGCTGCCACTGCTGCAAATCCCTTCACAAACCGCCGGTAGTAGTTAGCTAACCCCAAGAAAGCCTGCACCTCCTTCACTGTACTCGGCTGCTTCCACTCCTTCAGGACTGCTACCTTGCTGTTGTCTACCTCCAGCTTCTCATGTGAAATGACATGACCCAAGAAAGACAGCTTGGTCTTTGCAAACTCACACTTTGAACGCTTGGCATACAATCTGTGCTCACTCAGACGTGCAAGGACCAGCTCAAGGTGCTTTAGGTGTTCCTCACGAGTGCGACTGTAAACCAGCAAATCATCAATGAAAACCACCAGAAACTTGTCAATGAAATCACTGAAAATGCTTTGCATCATGCCTTGGAAAGTGGCTGGAGCGTTGGTGAGACCAAAGGGCAACACACGAAACTCATAGTGACCGTACCGTGTTCGGAATGCTGTTTTTGGGATGTCCTCACTCTGAATCCACACCTGATGATACCCCGAACGCAGATCCAACTTCGAGAAGTACCGTGCCTCACCAACTTGCTCAAACAGTTCATCTATCCGTGGCAGTGGGTATCGGTTCTTCACTGTTATCTTGTTCAGCCCGCGGTAATCTACACACATCCGCAGAGAACCGTCCTTCTTCCGCACGAACAGCACCGGAGAAGCATACGGAGAAGAACTAGGCTGAATGAACTCCTTAGCTAACAGGTCCTCTAACTGCTTCTTCAGCTCCTTCAGCTCCACTGCACTCATCTTGTAGGTCGGTCTAACAGGTGGGGTAGATCCAGGAATCAACTCTATCCTGTGATCTGCAGCTCGCTTAGGAGGAAGTCCAGCCGGTAAGTCCTCGGGAAACACCTCTGAAAAATTTTCCAGCAGCTTCTCTACACCCCGTGTTAACTCCTCATCCTCAGGTGATGCTGAAACCGTTGGTGTTACTGCGTCAGGTGATGTAGGCTGGACCTCTGAGATGAGACCTAGAAAAACTGCTTCCTCCTCCCGAATGGCCTTACCAAACTGCTTCGCACTAATCAGCTGCAAGGTCATCCCCTCCTGCTGCTGCACCACTGGTAAACATACAGATCTGCCTCCAAACAGCACCTTGACCTCCCTGGTTCTCCAATCCACCTGAGGGTTCACTGTTGCCAACCAGTTCCTGCCCAAGATGATGTCATGACTGTCTAGCCAGATTTGTTGAAACCGAATTTTCCCATGAAACTCCCCTATGTTGCAGTTGACCGGGTACAACTCAGGTCCACAGCTCATCACTACACCATCCGCCATGCGCACCGTACTCTCCACTGTACTGCTCTGCACAGGTAACTTCAATTCATGCACCAGCCGAGAAGAAATGAAATTGGATGAAGCACCACTATCCAGCAACATCTTTACCTCCTTACCACGAATCTGCCCCCGAAGTACTATGGCTCCTTCCGACTCCTGCTGCAGCGGCGTTGAGGATGGAGTCAGCAAGGTGGGGCACACCTCACCACCAGCAACTCGCCCCGAAGCTACTGATGAGGCTTGTTTCCCGGCTGCCTTGGCTTGGTAGGGCAGTTGAGTGCTTTGTGACCACGTTTCCCACACTTGAAGCAATTTCCAGCAAAGCCCTTTCGCTTCTTGTTCTTATCAATCGTATCCAGCTCCATTGGCGTAGGTCCTGCACCACCACGCTGCTCCCCATGGATAGGCTGGAACATGTTCGGACTGAACCGCATCCCACGGTTGAAACGGTTATGACGGTTACCGAAGTGAATCTCATCGTAACGTTCAGCGACACGCGCCATCTCCTCAAGCGAACTACAGCCCTGCACCTCTACTTCCATCCTAACGTCGTCTTTCAACCCGCGCTTAAACTTGTCCAGCGCCTCAGCCGTTGAAAGGTCTGAAATTTCGGTGGAGATGTCACGAAATTCAGCGATGT